AAAAAAATAATAAATTACTCTTAGAATTTCTAAATCTTCGAAACAAATAATCGCACGCCGCTGGAAAACCTCGATTTAATAGAAAGAGGAACGAGAACGACGCTGCCGGGAAATTTTATGGAAAATTAGTTTCGAAACTGTTTGCGGAAGAATAGGCTGTACGTCACGGTATTACGGTATTATTTTGCCAAAAACAAACGCACTCAAAGTAATAAGCTTTATTTACTGCCGAGTTTGAAAGAAATTAATCGGCGATCCAGTTTCACCGGCGCGGTAAAAAATAAAAAAAAAAGAAGGACAAACAACTATTCGTTCCGATGATACATTGTACCATATATTAAAAAATCGGGGTAACAAATTGCAGCACGTACGGCGTGATTCGGCGCATAAATGTGCTTTACAGACGTTCGAATCGATCTCAATTATCACTCGTGTGTTATGCAAATTTATGTACAAACAAAAATAAAAAAACAATATCGGGTCATAAATCGTGCAGACGCTCGAAATAAAATAGGTTTCGCTGCGATAAGTATAATTATAATCAGTCGATGGAGGATTTTTGTAAAGTATCGTGAAAATTTTGTGTAAAAGTTATTTCTTTTGTTACCTTTGCTGGCAATAATAGGAAGAACCGGTAATAAAAATGCAACGACAAATATAGTTGAATATAGAACTATTTTCAACAATTAAAAATCAGTAATTCAAGTAACTTGAACTACACAAGCGAAACTTATCTTTGTAAGTGTAATTACCAAGGCCTGTTATACTCAAATATAAAATAAACGCTGATTGGTTAATGAATGCATCTCGTACGTACTTGTGACGATCATTTTGAATACAAAGTTACAACGTCGATTAACATTATAACGAAGTTCAAGATCAAGCAATGTAGCGTAAATGAAAGCAGAAACAGCATCTTTTTGCCATGTTTCTGTTCGATCGTTCGCGAAATGCTAGGGGTGACAATGAATTTATGGAATATTTAATCAAAGAAGCCGCTTCTAAATAGTATTTTCGCTTCTTATCTCTTTATTTCGTCTTTACGCTCCTTATTCTTGGCAGTGAAGGTCGTAAGTAAAGGAGCAACCCTATTCGGCGTGCCACGGAATATTTAATTAGTTTTTCCAGCCGACAGTCGCCGTCCATAAATGTTAATTGCAGATGAAGTAGTAATAAAAAGCCCCCCGAGTCCTCGCCAAGCCACCCTTTTCTCCTTCCCCCTTGATTCTTACGACGCTTAACGAGTACCCGCAAACATTATCCAACGAAACCCACTATAGAGACATTTTTCCCTCGTTTATGGCTTCGCTGACATCTTGCCGCGTGCAATTGCTAAATGTTCAATGTAAATCATTACCGATCCATGCAACCACCGTTCGGATCCTCCGTCGTGCATGGCACTTCAAATTTACCGCCATTGGATGCGTTTTATATCAAACACCGACACTTTATTCGAACAGACAACGAATAAAAGTACATCTGTTTGTTCGTAACATTCACACCGTTCAATAATCATTTCAGATAGTAATTTGAACAAACATTAGATACTTGCGATTCTCCATAAATTACTACGTACTTTTGTTTTTGTATTTTACACATTTCGTAAACCGGGGTGTACATTCTTTCATACTTTGTACAGGCTTCTACTTTATATTTAGAAGTTTGTAGGCCATTTGCAAGTCTAAAGCACCCTCTTTTTACTCTTTTCAGGATATCTTAATTATTTCGATTCAGAGATAGTATATATTACATGGTTACACTTTATCTATCTTTCTCTTGAATCGCAGGCTCCCCTTCGCCGTTACGATGTAGACAAAATAACAATCTCTTGCTATCTTTAACGGAAGTTACAAGGAACCGTCGCGAAATGTTCCGTCACCCATCTTTCTCGAACACCGGTGATGGTATATATTTATTTCGATCTCTCGTAAAAAATAATTCCAAAATAATTTCAAAATACACGAACAACGAAGATTCCAACGGAATATTGTAATTTTCTCTTCTCTACCGGAGAATAAGAAAATCAGTCGAAAGTTTCAGGGTGAAGAGTCGTAGAAAAATATTTAACGCGATCGGGGATGAAGGAACAACAAACCACGAAAGGCGTTAAACAATTAATTGCAATTTCGTGAACGGAGAAAGTGGGAAGTTCTCTGTCTCGTATTGTCAACGCTTTTAGCTTACCTCGACGAGCACGAAATTGTGGAAAAATCGTTTGAAGCTCGAACGGGAGGAGAAGACAGCCGAGAAAAATCAGTGACGATCCTCGCCGTGCGATAGAAGGACGGGGATGGCCAGAGGGGTCGTAGTAGCAAAGGCAGAAAGAACGGAATTTAATTAAGTAAAATTACTGTCGCACGAAGAGGCGAAAAGCAAACGGGGTGGGGAAGAACCGTGGTGGAAGGGAGGGGATGTTGGCCAAAAAGGTGGCGATGCAAGACGTTACACGGGGAACGAGGGATGAGACCGGCATAATGATCTTATCCCGCGATGAAAACGTAGTAATAGAAAGTAAACGGATTCGAGCAAGCCCCCGGAAGTCACGGTTTTTCCCATTTTCTTCCCTTGGAATCGTTGCTTCCCCGACATATTGATAACGTACCGGTTTAATTAGTCCTGTACCGCTCTTAAAAAATAGTTTTTCCACGATGAATAAATTTCGAAGTTAACGACAACGATGATTGCCTATTTTATTCTCACGTTACGTGGAATATTGAAAATTACTACGAATCTAATACGAAAAACAGAATTCTTGGACCAACTCGATAATGAACAGTTACAATGAAAAATAATAAAAAAAAAAATGATTAAATGAAAAATGCTGTATTATTAAATAAGCTCTAATAGACCTGAGACAAATCGTTATGACAATTTAAACATATTTCCAATTTAAACAAATTTGCAAGTAGCTCTGAAATTATTTGTAATTTTTTTTAAGTTTCAAAGCATTCTCGGAACATATTCCAACGCATTCACGGCGATATTAGATGGAAAAGAGACATGGATTCTCCGCGATCGTTGGAATTACCCTCTCCGTTTCAACTAGAGCGAGACCAGGAACGCGTTCATCCCGCAGGATCCATGCAATCACACGAAACGGCCATTTATGCCGCGTTTATGAAAAATAATATCACCGTTCCTGGTAAGATTCCCGTCGTTTCGACGCAACGATGATCGAGGAGAGCGAGAAAGCTTGAAACGAGTTACTGTCTTCCCTTTGAAATTCCGCTCTCATAGCTTAGTCATGTGCATTTTTCCGCGAGCCTGACGAATGCATAATTTAGAGGCTTTCGAAACAAGAATTCTGCACGGGAAACAACGTCTTTGAGACCGGGAACGAATTTCTACCTGCGCGCACAGGAGATTGGGTTATCCGGATTACGATCGATTCGAATAAAATTATTTAAGAATTATTTAATATCAGAAAATGAACGAGAAATTATTACCACTCTATTTTTTCGAATTTTTTTTTATGACAAGTCACTCGCGAAATTGATACTTTCAAAATTTAATTACAACGATGATCGAAACAAGGCAATTCTTTTCTATACGATTCCCTAAATTAGGTTTCATTTCTACGTTATTGCACGATGTATCTGCACGTTGTTAACGAAATTTGTTCACGTTTTCAGGACGTTTACAGATAGTTCGGCCTAATGTACGTGTGCATTACCGATATAAACCAGTTTAGAACCAGCTGACGAAACTGCAAGCCTGTTTGCAATCGGTCTTGTTAGATTTGTGGACACGAAGATGAGCATAGCTCTTTGGCTTAGCGCGTGCAAACGCGCAAGTCGATCTTATAGTTAGGTTTCGGGGATCGATGGACAACTGTAAGCCCCAGGAATTGCGGAAATGAACAGACCGATCGATATTCTCGTCTCAATATATCGCCACGGTGTCCCGATCTTGATATCGATCGTCCGTTGAAGGATTATGCCCGATCGATCGATCATTGACAACGGATCGATGGCAACGTCCGTTTCATTTTCTAGCATTTCTGTGATGGAGAATCGCAAAGCGTTTGATCCGTTTTCAAGCGTAAATATAAAAAAGAAATTGAGAAAATCTCCAATTATTAAATTCCGATCTAAGGTGAGAAACATAATAGAAAATAAGACGTTTAACCCTCAAGTGGATTATTAGGGCTGCTGCAAGTTTAAACCAGTATTGTATAATATATGTCAATGTTCATTATTTTTTAAATGCTTTGAAGGAAAGTCGATTTTCACGTACCAGTTTGGTAAAAATTTAATTGAGTTTGAGAGTCCACCTAAGGTTTAAAACTCGTAGTTTTCATCTATGAATAATGCCTGCGAAAATAAACTGTGCAGTTTCATCGACTACTTGCCAATATGGGCAACCTGTGTTGTCGATCGAACGAGACAAATGTAGCCTAAATCTCGAATTGCAACTGACCTAACATAGCTGATGGACCACGGTTAAGAGGACCATATTATACATGTAGTCAAATCGTTGAAAATAGTTTGTTTCGAATGAATTAAACGTTATTAAACTCCATTTTTCACCCTTAAATTGCAATCTCATAATTTTCGGATCAATAGCAAAATAGATTATCATTGATATGCACATTGTATTAATTTGAACTTGGCTCAAATCTTCTATTAATTTTAATTTACAGTAAAATGCCCGGTTTACTGAACTCCTATTACCCGAACTATCGTTGAGCGTCAATTGATACTAACTTCAAGGGTTCGAACAATCAAAATTCTCGATCCCCAAGACTTTTAAAGATTTCGAATCACGGGTTGCAAGTAGTTCGAATCGTTATTCGAGATTCAAGACTCTCGTGTTGGAATCTTCGAAGGATCTCGTGAGCCGATCTTCCGGCAGCAATGGCGCGTAACTGTTGAAGAGGATCGTTCCGTCGCGGATTTGCAAGGAACGGGAATAGGTGAGTGTACGGAGGAGGTTCGTAAATCGGATCAGTTCTATCTGGGATCGTATGTGGCGGTAATGATGATGGCTGGTAGGCCTACCTTGGTCGAATACAAGGCAGCGGGTGGTCTTGGCAGCGAGTCCCGGGGGCAGAGCGAACCTGTAGGCCGGGCCCAGCGACAGCCCTAACCCCAGCCCGAGCGCCTCCGCGCCGCATCGGCCCCCGAACACAGGCCCCACTAGAATCACCCACATAACAACGGTCATCAGTCATCGTCATCAGGAATAACTACACATTATACACATTAATACAAGGTTCATGCAAACTCCATCGCGTTAGATTAACTCTGCTTTACGTTCAGCGAGTCGAGTCAAACCGGAGGTAAACAAAAAATGCACGTTAGGGTGGTCCTTATTCTTCGACTTTCGATTACTTCTCCACGCAACCCCCGGATAGTGACACTTGGTGGACAAAAATTTTGTACAAAATTTCAGCGAGACAGGAACACGAGCCGCATTTAAAATAGAGTTTTGACATTTTTAGGATTTCGCGTTAGAGTCGGATACACGTGTACCATCTTATATCAAAGTTGCGGACTGATATCTTTTAGTGAAATTATAACCCCTAGTGTCATAAACAATAACGTAAGTGTAATTTTCATTTGTTATATTTAGAATCCTATACAATGCAGCGTCTGGAATAGAAAAGTACATATTAGGGTGGCCTTTATATATCGACTTCAGATTTTCGTCGGTCTAGTTATTAAAAAATTAAATTAAAAAATTTCAAATCATTCTGAAAAAATTATATTTGGTTGCGGGGATCAATTACAAGTATTTTTAGTGAATACACATAACCCCGAAATCCTACCCCCTTACGAGAAAAAAATTCGAGTAGGTACTGAAATTTTTGGACGAAATTACAAATTTTCAAATCGTACTAAAAAAATTATATTTAATTACAGGGGCCAATTACAAGCATTTTTTGTGAGTAGACATAACCTCGAAATCCTACACACTTTCGAGAAAAAAATTCCCGATCGAAAATCTAATGTGAGACCAGGAATGCTTCCCTGAAATTGCATGCGTATCTTTAAAACGTCATAACTTCTGAACGGATTGAAGGATTTTAATGTTTAAAAAGGCAAACTGTGCGTATTTTAATGGAGAATATGTAGAAATTCTAACAATATTGAAAAAGTTATTCCTTGGCCCCGGAAAATGAGAAAAACCCCATAAAAATGGTTCAATTTTCAAACAGCCATAACTCCTACAATAGTGAATATATTTCAATGAAATTTTTTTCCGAACTAGAGGCCATGGGTACCTACAAAAAAGTATTAGACAAGTTTTCTATAGGGCATGAAACAAAGTTACTAAAAATCAAAAACGAAGATTTAAGAAAAATCGACAGGGGGTAGGTGCCTAAATTTTTCGGCGAAGAAAAATAATTTCAAATCGTTCTAAAAAAATTATTTCTAGGTTCTGGAGTCAAATGCAACCATTTTTGGTGAATACACGTACCCTTAAAATCCTACGCATTTTCGAGGAAAAAATTGAGGAATGTGGACAAATTTTTCGGCGAAAAAAAAAATTTCGAATCGTTCTGGAAAAATTATTTTCCGTTGCGGGGATCAATTATAATCATTTTTTATCATTGGACATACCCTCGAATTCCTACCCACTTTCGAGAAAAAAATTCGAGAAGTGAAATTTTTTGATGAAAATAAAAAATTTAAAATCGTGTTACGAGAATAAAAATATGAAATACTAAATCCGTAGGCCATTTGTAACGTGGGTTTGAACTCTGAACCGATATTAATAAACAGGATGAAACGAACCGATGTCAGTATTGCATGAAAGAATACCAAACCGAAGCATTTAAAGGTTTATCGCTCATAGAAACTGAAGACCGTCGAATTATTACGATCTAATATAGATAATAGCATATTGTCGTTACGCTCGTAGAGTATTATATTAGGTATTGGTATAGAGTCAGCACGTGGCAGTCGGTTGATCATTAAAGACCCTTCCGACATCTCATCCAACCCCACAGCTTAAATTCATAACCGCCAAACGCTACAAACGAATTTTTTTGCGCATTCGCCTGTTAATAACACGTAAGATACTCTGCCTGCAACGTCGGATCTAACATGTATTAGTTATTATGAAAGTAGCTCAAGTCGTACATTTCCCCTTTCGAAATATCCAAACGTTTGTGTTTGATCATATTAAAAAATATTTTTCTAATGTAAAATTTATCTAGGATCATTAAATTTCATGAATATGTAACTTTCAAAATTAACAGTGTACCACAAATATTGTAAATTTGATTAACAAAAACAACAAATAAATTTGTAAAATTGTATTATTAATCTTATGATTGCAATTGTATATATTATGTCTTCTTCAACTACAAGATTTCCTACATTTCACTTGGAGAAGGTTTTAAAATATTCGTAATGGTGGAAATTATACTTTCGTCAGTTTCTTCGAAGTAGCAAACAATGGCGACAATTATAAAATAATTTTAATCTATTCAGGCTTCATAAAAACTTACATGGAGCTTATTTCACGAATCGTATCTACTTTCGACCAGTCGACTAGTCTTTCGTTGGTATTTTTGGTAATTCGAAAAGGTTCACCGCAGAAATATGAAAAATGGAGATCTACCAAAACGTAGAAGCACGCTCGATGCCTAAGCCATAATCTAAATTCGTGTTAGGGGAGGATAAACGCATCGAGCATAATATCGGAGGCTTAATGTACTTTTTAAGGTAGCCAAAAGACTTTGAGATGCAGAGTATGGAGGTTCTTCCGCCACGGTCTCCTTCTCGGGACCTTTGACTTTAGAAGCTTTGCCACGCTGATTAAGACACTCGATACAATTAGGCGGCGAAAAGAACCTCAAAAGACGGTTCTCTTTACCTGCCCTTTGGCCCGGATGCAGACGCCTAACCGGTAAGAACGGGGAGCTTCTCTTCGGCGCAAAGGAGTCTCGCGAGATCGTTTTTAAAATTCGTTTCTTCCGGGGGGGAAATACATTTTTGCGCGCAGATCGTTTCGTCGTCAATTTTCAGTGACGATAAAATAAAGTATTGTTCGTTTTATTTTTGCCTCTAGGATCCTCCATTAAAATTTTCTACCGAGGATGGCCAGACACCCTGTACATGTGCTACGTTTTGCCATACGATTATCTTCGATTGAAAGAACAAGGAGACACGTAGGTTCGTGTGTCAAAAAATTACGTTTCTTTGCATCGTGCTAAGAAAAAGTAATCGAAAATCAAAAAATAAGGACCACCCCAGTGGGAATAACTATACATATATGAAATTTTCTACATGTACAGCTCTAACAGTGCGAAATTCTCCTGTTCTTGAAATGTTCGACGTATGAAAAAATGGACTCGTATCAGTTTTTATAAGAAACAAGCTTTTTTTCATTTATAACAAATCCACCGTTACAGTTTAGGAGCACGAGTAACCGTGTACGAAATGTTGTACATGTACAGCCGCCAACAGTGCGAAATTCTGCTGTACTCGAGCCTGTATGGGTGTTCGTTGCGAAAGGTTCGACGTATCGTGTAGAAACACGAAAAGGGACGAGAGGATCGGGGTGATACAGGGTGTCAGAAGTAACCGAGATGAGGAGGTAGGCCAGAAAGCGAATCAACTAACAGTGCAAACAGGCATGGAACAACGTCAGTCGTTGCGCCGAAGCTAAACCAGCGGAGTCTTGCTTTCTCGATGAATTATTCAAGGCTTCTTGATCCGGTCTCTCAGCCCTATAAACCGACAGACGGATTCCCGTCCTCTCAATCGACGAGCTACCGATTTTTTCCTGCCTCCCTTCTCTTCCCTCTCCCTCTCTCTTTCCCGTCTCCCTTCGTTCTGGCAGTTCTTTCCCTTCTCGCAAGTATGTTGACCAGATTAAGATCGCAGGATCGACTGTCAGCTGCCGTGATCATGATGCGCAACAATCGCATGCCTCGGGATCCGTCTCATGCGCCATGTTAGGCGGTCTCCTGTTTCCCGTTGTTTCCCTTGTTCTTCTTCTCCACCTTCTCCCTTCTTCTTCATTCACGTAGACGGGGCCCTGTCGTCATCGATCTACACCGAGATGACTCTCGTCATTCGAGACTTTCTTGGGAATGCGAGGACGTCGCTGCCAGGTTATCGTTTCCCTCGAGCTAATTTCGTCTCCAAACTCCAATCCACGGGGACCTTTTTATCGCGACGATCTCCCGTTAAAAATCTTTCGCTGTACACTCGACGGAATTCGAAATAAAAAACGAATATACGGATATAAATTTCGTCGTGGTTTGAGTAACCAAGAACCGTTTGGGTAGAAAAAGACTCGAGGGTTAAACGAACTAATTATTTCAAAATATTAAAATGTTTGAGAACCTGATTTCGAAAAAAGAAGGTACAAAGAATTTCGAGCAGCAACTGAAATAACGATTGAATTATTTGCTTTATCTACTTTTCTTCTCGGATTTAACTTTTCAATGGCGCGCATATTGTGCAACGTCGAGATACGAAGTCACTTTTTCGCAAGAACGAGCGATTAAACTATCGAAGAAAGAGGGAGCTCGGTTACTGTAAAACAGAAGAAGTGGTAGAAGACGAGACATGTTCAGACGTGCCACTAGAGAGTGGATTGTGTTGCGACAAGTTAGCTGGTTCAGTTCCCGGCGTGAGACCTTTGCTACCCGATGCTATTACAAAACCAACAGATCGAAACGGAAAAACGGCAAAAAACCTAATGAAAATACACGGGTTAAAAAACTTATTTCGAAACAACTTTGTTAATTACGTTTGAATCGTACCGAAACATCCCTGGAAATAATTGGACTATCACTAGGTACATACGAAGCGATCAAAACGAGGAATTGGGCCATTTTCATGGTGTTTTACGGGGTCAAGGAACAACTTTGCGAACATTCTTAGAATTTCAAAATATTCTTTACCAAAATACGCGTTGTTTGCACCTCGAAACATTGAAATCCTCCGATCCCTTCAGGAATTATGATTTTTTAAACAAACGCACGCGTGGAAACATTTCTGACCACATATTATATTTTCGGTAAAGAATTTTTTTCTCGAAAGTGCGTAAAATTTCAGAGGTATGCGTACTCATGAAAAATAAGTGTAATCGACCGCCGCAACCGAAAATAATTTTTTCAGAATGATTTGAAATTTTTTAACTTCGTTGAACGATTTCTACACCTACCCCCTAT